TATTCTACATGTATAATAGTAGTTTATCACATTTAACTGTACTCCATGACACTGTGGCAATTGGATTGTGTGATTTAGGCGTTCCACAATTTTTTTAACCTCACGTCATGTTGTTGAATAATCGACATCTACTTTGACACATGCTAAGGTGATTGGATAAAGGGGTTACCTGTGTGAAGAGTAGTGAAAGATCTTCAAAAAGAGTAGTGAAAGATCTTCAAAATGATAGAATAAGTTTAGCGGTTACCACTCACTGTACCCTGACCTGGATAAATCGGAACCTTCACAGTTCTATTCTACATATCTCTCATTGGCGGTTACCTGTGCACTGTTCTAAAAACCCCTGTACCCCTTCATTGCTTGCGTTTTTCTTTGTGCTTTTCCCTCTATACAGTTACATATACACATCTGTATCTTCCACACAGTTTTCCCTCTCTTTCCTCCCTTGTGAAACTTTGTCTATTCTTCCCATAACTGTTCACCTCTCTCTCTTTTCCACACTTTACTTGTGTGCACCTCTCTATCACCCTTTTCCCTATTCCACCTCCCCTGCTTCCATACCTTACCCTCTACCATCTTAAATGTTTGTTTCCCTTACTTGCATACCTTAGAGGGTACCTATGGGCAAAAAAAAAAAAAAAAAATTATATTTCTGTATTGAATTTCTATAAATTCTGTCCCACTTCTAATAACATTACTAATCTACAAGTTTGTAAACTTACTTATTGAAGATGTCCATTGGATGCACTTCCTCGGTGCACTGACACAATTTCACTCAGCCCTCAGTATCCTCCACTGCAAACCAGGAAGTTCGGGTGCACTTCCTTGTGACACCGATCAAACTAAGCTTGCCTCTGAACTTCCCACAAGGCAACATCAGCATTGCTTGCTGGAAGCAATGCATGATGAGATATGTAGTCTTGAGAAACCTAGATTGCATCACATCAAGTAGCAGGGAAAGAGATGTAGGAAATTGTTGAAAGTGATGGGCAGACAAAAGGCAGCACTCATTACATAAAAGGGATTATTTTTCAAGTAGGCTTTGATCACTGTATGAACAACTCTAGTATGTATTCCTATTGCAATGCTGATGTTCTAACAGGATAGTATATATGGTCTGACATTAGAGGTCCTTTAAATGTGTGCACCACTCCTATCATCAAACCTGTTTGCTTCCCTTCCATACCTTCACCGTGTGTACCTCTCTGGTCATCATCCTGCTCCATGCACCTCTATTTATTCCACACCTTGACCATACTCCTTTTCAGTCTGTGTCTCCTCATCTTCCATAACTTTCATTTGTGTTTAAATATAGCACCCAAGAAAGATATATTGCACAAAAAAGATTTGTTTGTAAAAAAGAAAAAAATTATTACAAACTATTAAAATTCAAAATAGATATTAAAACATTTTGATTTGCTTTATATACACAGTCATTTTATGAGACTTGCAGTACTATTTTATGAGCATATGACATTTATTTTTCCCTTAGCAGGTCGACACCTTTCATGGATTTTATCTGCTTCTTCCGGACCATTTTATAGAGAATACTTTCTCAAAGCTTCACTTATATGGTCTGTGTATTTGTATATTATGTAGTACAAAATGAAATACAGTTATATTGGTTCCATTATGCCTAGGCAATGCAGGTGCCCAAGTGGTCATTTAGAGAACGCTGTCCATTATGAAGTAATAACAATATTCTCAGGTTGTAGTTGATGGATAGCAAAAGGAAGGCAAAATAGATCTAAAATATGCTGCCTCTCCAAAATGTCATACGTATAGCACTTCCAATTATAAGAGATCCTTTCAGTCTGTAATGAGTTGTCAGTGCAACAACATTCCTGCCCCAGACTCCTAGTGACCGTTCCTGCCCCAGACTCCTAGTGACCGTATGCTAAGTGTATAGGGAAGTTGACATGTGGCCATGTAATAATAAAATGTGTTCATTTTTATACAAACAAATCTTTTTGTGCAATAGATATTTCTTGGGTGCTATATTCCAAGTCCCCTGTTCTCTTCTTAATTGTTATTTTGTAGGGATGATGGCACCTTAGGATTGATACATTGATTAGGTTGCATTCTCCCCCCTCTTTTCTTGGTTTTTCCTCTTTTATAGCTTACCCCTGTGTGGCTCTCTCTCCATTCACAGTACCTCTTTGCAGTCTGCTGTAGCTTAGCTCTGTGAGTAGTAGTCTTTTCCCTGCCTGTCTTCTTTTAGTTATAGGAACAGGACACATACAACAGCCAACAATACATTTCTTTAAAGTATTAACACATTGGGGGAATTTATCAAAGCACTTGCGACAGTTTTAGCCTCTTAGATCATTTTTTTTTAAATGTGCAAATCTGCATTTTAACATGTGCCCCTGTTTTCTTCAGAGCTTGCACTACTTTTTCAACTGCATGTTTTTTGCACCTTTTTTGCACGTGTTTTCATCTGCACTTGTTAAACCTCATTTATCAACAACATTACACTAGCTTGATAAATGTGGTGCAAATATATTCTGTGCAAGTTCAAACATTCGCAATTGCTTTGATAAATTCCCCCCAATGTTTTTTGCACCTTTTTTTTGCACGTGTTTTCATCTGCACTTGTTAAACCTCATTTATCAACAACATTACACTAGCTTGATAAATGTGGTGCAAATATATTCTGTGCAAGTTCAAACATTCGCAATTGCTTTGATAAATTCCCCCCAATGTTTTTTGCACCTTTTTTTTGCACGTGTTTTCATCTGCACTTGTTAAACCTCATTTATCAACAACATTACACTAGCTTGATAAATCTGGTTCAAATATTTTCCGTGCACGTTCAAACACTCGCAACTGCTTTGATAAATTCCCCCCATTGTTTTTCTGAATATTGTACAGCTGGCCATACACTGGTTGCCTTTTAAAGGTGTGAATGGGGGAATTATACCCCACCATCGTGCTAAGCCGCTGTAAGAAAACCTCAACAGTGACTGCAGCTGATGGGCTGCAGTTCATTTTTTGCTGAGAATTTTCGGACTGGCTCCTACACCAAAAGTCGATTGGAGAGAAACTGATGGGGGGGTCAAATTTCGATCAAGTCAGTAGGACTCGGCTAAAAGTTTAGCAGCGCTCTCGTTTTCCTCCCATCCATATGGTTAGTTTGCTTGTTTTCCATATGTTACTGCTAACAGCTTATCCTAAGCATACTGATAATATCGTATTGTTTCAAAACAACTATTGTTATGCCCCCCATTTGCATCTGCCAGATGATCCATTTATTTGAGCAGGCAGAAGAAATGTATTTTAAACAATTCTCGTTTGTGCCTTCAAATTTCTACATCAATTAAGAAATAGATAAGAGATCTATGATTTATTGTGATGGGCTCGTAAGTGGATTTTTCATGTTTTGTGTTGTGATAATGACTCGGAATCGGTTAGAGTGTTTATCGAGTGAAAATGGACAGAATGCCAGTTTAATGGGTGTCTTTTTTTCTGGGGAAAACACTTAATTGTAAGAATGGAGTCCCTGGCTGTTGTGGAACTATAACACTGGCCATTGATATCCATCGGTGACTATACTGATAGGACTGCGGCTACTGAAAGCTTATCTGCCCCAGTGCTTATTAATAGGACCTGATGATGGCCACATTAGTGGCTAAAATGCATTAATAACTGCTAAATCCATTTAAATGCAAATTCTGCATATATCACTAATATATGCTGATGTTTGTGGTTCTATTACACTATAACGCCAAAACAAATGCTATCTATCCATGTATTTAAGTGGCCTTGTTGTACACTGTCAAGAATTTTTGTGTTGCAGATTCGGATCATGACATACATATAAATGTATATAAGAATTATTTATCACTCTAATTGTTTCAGGTTAGTGACTCAGGAAGCATTGAATCCAATGTGTCAGCATGACAGCTAGACTAGTAGTATTTGTATTAGCGGTGTTCAGCAATAACCCCCCCTTTATGATTCTGTCATTACAATTTACCTTTATGAAATGCAATGTACTAATCCGTACACATAAAACTGGCAGATGATAAAATATCCTTCTTCATTAGTGAAGTCCTTTTTATACACAGACCCATGCATACTAGTAGTTCAGTCATTTATGCTGAAGTGCAAGAATAGCGGTTCAATTAGTCTGGCCTTAAAGAAGACGTCTAGCCAAACATGTTCTGATTGCTTATGTCCCCAGGTGACAGAGTGCATGTAGCACTTCGTACCATCCTTCTGTGTGGTGTTGTTCCGGAGATAGCAAGATTGACAGCGTGCCCCCATTCCCCCACTGCTGTTCGAATGCGCATCTAGTAAGGAGATGAATATATAGTTGTGATTGACAGTTCTTGTCTCTGGCAACTTGTGCTTTCCCAAGACAAGCATTGTCATTAGGTATGCAGGGGGAGGTGGCGTATCAGCTACAATACCATCAATAAAAAAGAAAAAAATTGCCCACACATGCAGAGCTCATGGGCGATCAGTACTGATTGTGTGTTGTGTGTATGCCATTTGAGAGGTCAGGAGTTCACTGTTCGGGAGGCAGTGGCAACTGAGCTCTACCAACACAACAATTGAAATGCAAATTGTGCTTTAACAGTAATAATAAACCAAAGTATCAATAATAAACTAGTGGTTCATTTGAGAAAGGAAGTAATTACACATTATTGTACTGTATTCCATTATTTCACCATCAGAAGAGTTCTTCTTTAATACAGTGTCCAAGGAAAGAGGTTTATGAAATTTGCACATGCACCATTTCTGCACCCATTGGAGAATTGTAATATTGGTCAAGGATTTCCAACTATTAAGAAATTAAAGATTGTTAAACTTCTTTTAAAAAATGCATGCTAGAGTACATGTGAACCTCATTATAGGTACACGAGTTACTGAATTCAAGTTACTATGCATTACATTATATCATTGTAAAGCTCTTGGAATAGTCTTATAGAGAGTACTATGGAATGAAGTCACTGATGGCAGCCTGCTGAGATAATTTTTACTTGTCTGTACAGGATGACATTCTCACCGTGATCCGCAGAGTGGATGAAAACTGGGCAGAAGGAATGCTGGGAGACAAAATAGGAATATTCCCCATTTCCTATGTGGAGGTAAGTAATATACCCCTGATGATAGATACATTAACTTGGTTTCTTAGAATGAACCCTGAAACTATATTTTCTTGCATAAACCTGAGCATGACCTTTTCCCCATCCCGCTTGCTTTGGCTACATTAATAAGCCACATGTGTTGCCTTGTCTGCATCATTCATAGAATATGTTGAAGTCATTGTCAGTTACTAGTTGATGGTTACCACAATCATAGCAGAAAATAATTATGTTACATTGTCATCGAGAAGGCATTTTGGAACTGCAGTTCATTGTTCCTACAGGTCTGTTTAGTGTTCTCTTTTTTTTGGCTGCCACGTATGATATATTTTTTTCTGTTAGTCACTATGCTGGCAGGCTTTATTATATACGAAGATGATTAATTGGCAGAGTTTGTGCAAAATGAATCAGTGAAACAATTTAAATGTTGCTAGAGTCATTAGTACCTCATTAAGGTGCCCTAAGGTCAAGATATTTTCATCTAAAAGGGTTAAATTCCTAAGTCTGAAAAATTCCTGCGTGATGTCAGAATTCTAAATCTAAGAATTGTGTGCTGTATGTGACCTGTGTAGGGATCTGTCTTCTCTGCAAATTGTTTTCCTATTACATCCATTCCTAAAAAATACATTCATTTGGTTACTCATTTACAACCATTTGGTCATTGCGCATTTATTGTTCAGTGTACATTTAAATGCTGATAAAATCCATTTCAATGGATGCTGCTTTTTGATGTTTAAAAGTTTTGGCTTCCTGCAGAATCAGCTGGTCCTTTGAGAGCTGCCTCGGATATCCTTTTTTAGGCTGCCTCCTTTCCCATGCAATACTCCTATGGAGCCACCCTTGTGTCTGCTAGTAAGCTGTTCTCCACAAACACAAAGGCTCAGCAAGGCAAGTCACTCCCCACCCCCTGCTCCTTCTCCCTTCCTCCTCCCTTCTCCTCCTCCCTACCTCCTCCCTTCTCAATGCTAGTGCATAGACAGCTGTTGTCCCTTGTGATCGTGTACTGGACAGGAAGTTCAGGGAAGCAGAGCTTAGAAAGTTGGACTGAAAACATGAACTGCACAGCTCACCCCTATCATGGGTCCTCGCAATCCACATTCGTTGCACGGATGACTCTCTTCCGGAGTAATAGGCTCAAAAACTGTGGAACCAGCTCACGATAATCTTCCAAATAAATTCAAACTTTATTCCACATCCATCTGTACAAAGCACAGCCGGTGTGCGGTTGTGCTTTGTACAGATGCATGTGGAATAAAAAGTGTGAATTTATTTGGAAGATTATCGTGTGCTGGTTCCACAGTTTTTTAGAAAGTTGGAGCCAGCTGTTTGGAAACATGATGACTGTAAATGCTTGGGCCAACAAAGTATTGAAATACTTTGCTGGGCAATGTATGTTTGTTTGATCTGGAGTCATTATTAAAAAAGTTAATAATAATAGTTGAATGCAATTTTATTGTAAATAGAAAGATGGGGGATGGGGGGGCGGTTCTTGTCTCTAGTATTATTTTGAATTCATAGTTTTTAATGACCAGAAAACATATTTAGCTTTGTTTAAAATTGATTGCATGTCAGATATTCCCTAGAGTGACAGATATAATATATCCACATCACCAAACCCATTAGCAAGTACAGTATCTCTAGAAAGGTATAGTGTTTTTAATATGTGAATGTAAATGTAAAATGTGATGAGAACAATGAATAGTTGGAATAATAAAACATGCTCCTCAGCTGTAGTTCTGTAAATCTCTCTGGCTAAAGTATATGCAAAATAACTTTGTCCCCTGAGATTACAAATTACAGTCTCAACAGAACAATTTTTCCACTTTTTGAGAATGTTCTACATAGCTGAGATTGCCTTGGCAGGTGCTATAAATCATTCTGGTAGGCCAATTAGATTGCTCCATTTAGAATAATTTGCAGGGCATGGTACTGTAGTTTGAGTTTACACCAGAGACTGTATTGCTATAGCAAAACTGCACATTAAAGGAGAAGTACTGGGAGAGTAAAATGTATTCTTCTCAATACTTTGAGCCGGTGTGTGACACTGCAGCTGTCACACGCTGGCTCTATAGATCGAAAACTGAGCAATCACAAATTGCTGATCACTCAACTCACAGTGATCTCCATGCAGAGAGTGGTGACTGACGGTCACCGCTCCACGCAGGGTTTCCACCCTCCCCTGTCTCTATTCTACCAGTGCTCATTGGAGGGAGAGGGGGTGAGCACAGCTGGCTCTAGAGAGGCAGAGCCAACGGTCAACCAGGCACCTTCTTGGCTGCAGCGCAACTCTTGGCTGTCAGCATATAGAGGGCTACTGCTGATTTTGGGTCACAGAAGTACATTAGTAAATATACTCCTGTCACCCAAAAGAGAACTAAAGCCAAAAAAAAAGGTTTGGCTTTAGTTCTCTTTTAAGATAGTTGGTACCTTCCCACAATATGTCTGGATGCTGCCCATTCAGAGTTGTGCAAATCACAATTAGCATTTAGTTAGTGTCGCCTTTGGCTACATTTGACTTATTTAAAATTGGTATGCTTTTTCACAGACTCCAGGCTGGTTTAAGTCCTTTCTTAAGCTGTACCTGTACCTGTTCCTCTTAAAGTATGATTGTTTACAGTGTGTCTGTTTGAGCCAGCTGTTTCATTTGGGAAACATTTAGATTTTAGAAATGGCTATCTGTTGTGTTACTGTGGCTGCTACCATGCCATGACAAAGTCTTCCATAGCATGGCTAACCCAAACTAGAGGTTGGTCACATACATTTCTATAGAGGGTACAAGCAAAGAACCCACATGCTGTACCAGAAAGAAAGTTGATCTGAGTCTTACTCTTTGTTGGGGGGGTTTTATTGCATATTGTAAAATATGCATTAGCAGAATCTATCGAAGGCCTTAATTAGCTCTATAGCATAGAAAGCATTTTCCCCATCAGTGCTCTGTCTCAACTTGAATGCTAAAACACCATTACATTCATCACTTCGCTTGTTAAAGCAGCCAATATTGTTTATTGGTTGAATGGTTTTCTAATGGTAAAACATTTATAATTGTTTAATAGGAACGCTGATTGAGATGTAGCTTTTCAAATGACAGGTACACTGTTATTACTGTAGGAAACTAATTTGTGCCTAATTAATATAATCCAGTTAAATGCATAGTTCCCTAGCAGCAGTCTTACTTGAACAGTGTTGTTCTGTTTGAAAAAATAAAAAAAAAAATGTGTGAGGAGGAACACAATAGATCACATTTAGAAAGCTATTAATCATAACGATGACATATCACTGTGGCTTATGATAAACTCTGATGATATGATTGATGATGATTAAGGATACCTTAATTCATCCTTACTGTATCTGACCCAGACATTTGCTGTCAAATCTGGTTAATTGTCTAAATTGTTCTTGATGAGGGCTTACTGTTGATTAGTTGCTTTTTTTAATACCTGTGGGCTAACTGCAAATGTATTAAGTGTAGCCGTAAGAGTTATGGCAGTCAAAAGTGAAAGTGCATGTCTGAGACATTATTCTAAATATCATCATGAAGGCTGCAAGGGGAGCACACATTGGATTATGCTTCCAGCATTACACATCAAATTAGCTCATAGAAATGAGATAACATGAAATCCCCTAGTGCTATTCCCTCGAAAAACACAGGCACACTGGTCACTGCTGAAATTGTACAATGAGACTTGTCCATGCAGTAATTCCAGAAGTGTTCACCAGCTATATCTATCTCTGGAGTGGCTCCAGAGCCTGAACATACGTTCCAGCTACAGGCGGTGTGGAATAGTTCTATTCTGGATCCAAGGCGGCTTCTTTGCTGCTAAAGAAAAGGAAAAAAAGTTTCTTGTTTATTGAGGGGTACAGGATTCGGAGAAAATCTGGTTATACTTCTGCCTACTGAAGGATTTGGACATTGGCAAACAAAAGAGAGCCGTGACCAGCCTGGTACAACCCCTCCCACTCCCAGCATGTCTCCATTTTTTGCTAGTGTCCCAAGAGGATGGAAGTGTTTTATAAAATTATTTTTCTGCCTGGAAAGGGACCTTTGGGCAATGGGCTTTGCTTGTGACACTTTCCAGACCCCTGTGTACTGTGTTGGTTAACTACAAAACACTTTCCAGGTCCAGAGTTGTGGCACAGCCCCTGGTGTGACCCAGTTTCTGAAGACTTCTTAATGAGTATGCTGTGTGGGACAATCACTCGGAGGTAGTTTGTTCATTAGACCTGTTGGCTTTTTCTATCCGGTTTACATGAAAAGGGTTAAAATGTTGAGGAATTGAGTGCAGCATCACTAGGTGAAGGGTCATCTGTGCACTCTTCTTGCGCTCTTTTCCCACCATTCAGTGTGAGGTATCACCTTCCAGCCACTGTTCCTAATCGCAAGAGACCTATGATTTAACCTCGGTTAGTGCTTGCTACTGCCTACAGTGACCTAGTCACCTTTGGCTCTTTGAACCTCTTTTGCTTCCTGCAGTTGGTTCATGAGTAGTCAAGGTTGTCACTTCTTGCAGTGGAACATGTTGGATCTCAAACACAAGAGACCAATCTCACGGTTGGGTCCCTTTGGCTTATGATCCACTCACAGTTCAGGGGTAGCCTGCAGTGTTCCCTCTCAAGGGCCTGTTACAGACAGCCTGGAATTTTGTTCCCCTCTTGAGTCGTTAGACTACTCCTTCTTGGCTCCATTGGCTTTAACCTGGGAGGATTTTACCGCTGTTAGTGATTTTATTTGGACACGCAAAAGATCTAGAATAAGCAGAAAAATCCTTAAATGCCCTAAACATACCAGTGGCCTGGCTCTCCCAGACTTATACATGTATTTCTCTGCAGCAGCATGAACTAGAATTGTGGACTGATTACACAGAAAAACAAAACCCGTGGACGTCCCTTGAAAAAAATATATTGTCCTTGAAATTAACAGCACTTTCTTGGATAAAGCCCCAATTCTGCCCAAAACTAGGTGACCTGCCTATCTAATTATCTTATACCTTAAAAGTATGGAATCG